TGTCCACTTCTCTTTTCAAATATTATTTAATAAAATTGTGCATATAGCATCCTGAGACTCTGCATTTTAACACGAGGACATTGGCTTTCTGCATCAAAATATTTATTTTTGTTCAACCTAGACCTGTTGTCTGTATTTAGGGAGACTAACTTGAATTTTTAAAAAATACAATAAATTGTTTAAATACTAAAATAATATTCTAAATATTTATTTTTTCAAAGTTGATAAAATTCTACTAATCCTAAATAGCTAGGAGATTAAAAATCTAAATCAAATTAAAGCTCATGTTTCTAAGGGGCCAGTGGATTATGGTGGGGAGTAAAACATTTATAGTGGTGGCTATTGCCCCCTAAGGCCCCACAACCACCCCATCCCTCTTTTGTGGCATCCCTGGTCTTGGATTGTAAATAGCAAGCGAGAGCTGGAGTATTGTTCTAACTGTTATATCTCATACACAACAGAACATATTTTCATTTAGATACAGGGATGAACACAGATGGAACAGAAATGTAAAAACTAAAAACACATATGTTTGTTTGCCCTCTGTTATCATAAAGGTCAGCATATAAAAAAAAAAAAACAAGTACCAGGGGATCTGCTGTGACTAGTCTCCGTTGTAACCTGTGCGACCTCCAATTTGGTCCCTCACGTCCCAAACTAACCATTTCTCTAATTTCAGCGTTCACACTGCACCAAAGAAAGGCTGCTGCCTTCATCTCCTCCTCCCTCGCTCACACGAGGCTGCGATGATGAAGGAGCCCGAGACCAATGAGGGGTGAGGAGCGTAGATGGAGGGGGGAGGTGATGGCGGAGAATGAGAGGGGTCTCTGTGAGTGATAAAACGCCGCAGGCTGCGTTAATGAAAAGCCTCTCGTGGCGATGGAGAGATTGCCTCTGGAATGGGCTGCTGATGGGAGAAGCAGCAGCTTGGTGCAGCGTGCGGTCTAATTAATGTACAGAGTGGGCTGGAGTGACGGGGAGAATTAGACCTGCTCACATTGTTACCTGAGCTAAGGAGGGCTGAACTTTACATTCAGGGATACTGAGCAATGCAACACGGATTCCATATTAAGCTGCGGCTGACGTCATATGAGTCAACTGTTGATATCTAACACCACAAGTTTTTTATTTGTACAATTAGGTAGTGAAAATGTAGCGTCTAAAACAATGTGAAGGTTTGTTCACGCAAAATATGTTTGCTTTTAAAAATTGTGTCCCAAGGCACTTACAAGCAAACAGCTCTTGCTACCGTTTTCATTAGAACAATTTATAGGGCAGAAAAGTGGTTTTGCTGCCCATAACACACTCTGTGTTTTAGCTATATAAAGTGAAAATTGTTCCTGGAAAAAGACTGCTGCTAAGGCTTTCAAAAGTAATGAGTTCCATTAAACTGGAGGCAGCAATCTTAGATAAACAAGAACACATGCAAATAAAATCAAAAACATCATCCCGCTGATACTAAAACCAAATATGATGTTTTACACAGTTGGTAAAAAAGGTCCTGTGAAATTAAATCTATGTGAACGTTTCAGGATTTTTACCCTAAATATACACAGTGAAAAATGTTTCATAGATTACAGCTTAAACAAAATGTGTATTGCTTAGCAAGGATGCAGTTTGTTCATGAAAAAATAAACATCGTAGCATTAAATAAAAAATACCATTAGAAAAAGCTTGATGGATAGTGTCATTGTTTTATTGGTATTCATTAGTTTTATTGATAATAATGACACAATATCCCAAAATAAAAAGCTGAAGTGATGATTAAAGCTCCTTATAAACATAAATGTCGGCATGTGTCTTCAACATGTGCCACTTAATTCAACTCTTTGATCAAAGTCATTTAATTTATAATTACAGTAGTCCCTCGTTCATCGCAGGGGGTCCGTACCCTGAAGCCCCACGATAAGTGAAAAACCACAAAGTAGGAATAGTAGTCCAAGTTGTAAGTAGCAGTCTATTTTAGTATTTATATACTGTATATACTATATATATAAATGTATTTTAAACCCTTCCCACACTCTTGCAATATTCTAAACAATGTTTCTAAACTCTAAACGCTCTAAAAGAGCACAGCATGTCATGAAATTAGCTCTCTGCCAGTGCTCTCAGCCACGCCCACGCACTGCAGGAAGCTTCTCCTGCAAGCTGTGGGCTGCACACAGGTGCAGCAGGTGCAAAATAATAAAAAAAATAATTTATTTTAAATAAAAAACATCCATCAGCCAATTGTGCGTCATGTCCAATCTTACTTTGAAAAACCACAATAGAGCGAGTCAGCGAAAAACAAACCGCGAAGTAGCAAGGGACTACTGTAAATGCTAATAGACCTGAATTTGTGGCACGGTGGCTCAGTTGGTAGAGCTGACGCCTCTAAGTGAAAACGTTGCCAGATCGAATTCCAGCTGGGGACCTTTCTTGGAGGAGTTTGCATGTTCTCTCCGTGCATGCATGGGTTTTCTCCGGGTACTCCGGTTTCCTCCCACATTCCAAAAACATGCACGCTAGACTGATTGCTAACTCTGAATTGTCTCTAGGTGTGAATGAGAGAGAATGGTTGTTTGTCTCCATGTGTCCCTGTGATGAACTGGAGACCTGTCCAGGGTGCACCCCACATCTCGCCCATTGACTGCTGGATATGGGTACCAGTGACCCCCGCAACCCGAGAAGGAAGAAGCGTGTAAAGATAATGGATGGACTATTATTTTTAGGAGGCCATTATTGATGTGTTGGTATGTTTCTCTGCAAACACGTGAAGACAATTAAATTAAGTGGTTACTACTTTAAAACTAAAACAAATCTATTACAACAACAACAACAACAACAACAAAAACACTATCTATGAGATAAGGCTGAAATCTATTTTAAAAATAAGTTTAAACATATTTAGATTTTTCCCCCTTATTTAAACCATGTCTTTTTGCTACATTTACTTTATTCATGCCATTATCCTTCCAGTTAATAAAGAAACCGATACTTTGCTCCTCAGTTCAATAGAACCATTAAAACCTATTTTTTTAACGAGTTTGGACTGCTGGCTTCATCAGGAAATGCGTATCTGATACAGTGAGTCCTCTGACCACCAGGGTCATCTTCAATGATTTCCGCTAAGTGGAAAGAGAAAACAAAACACCTGAATGGAAGAGAGTGAGGACCAAAGGTTCAAAGAGTGGAACACTGAAACATGAAAGGGACAAAGGCAGTAAGTGAAGACGAATATCAGACTGATTGGACACCTGGAAAGACAGACGCATCAAAGGTCAAAGCAAAGCTGTCAACCTGTCAGTGCCGCGGCGTTTCAATTTCTAAAGTGTCTCTTACGTCACACGAGCCGACTCTGAAGTCACCAACTTCTGAAAGTCAACGTCTGTCACACAATTTTGTGTCCTTCATTAACTGGATTATTTTCTCCTATCAATTTAGCTGTGCACAACAGCAAATTGCTAAAAGGTTAAAACCATAATTTCCTATAAAGATTAAAAATGCAGCTGTCTTTCTGTTTATAAAGTTAAAAAACAAATGCATAAACAAGTAAACGCCTTCCTGCTGTCATTGCAACAGCCAAGAACAAAACAAAAAAATAAAAAATAAATAAAAATAGCCCAGCATGATGTGAAGGGAACTCATTAGCGAGTGGCATTTAAGATTTCTCCCAGTAGCACGAACTGGGAGTTTTTAATATCAGCAGAGAATGATTGACAACTCCTCAGCTGGTGCAGGTTTTACTCGCTCAGTTTTCACAGAAGCAATCAGAAAGTGGGCTATTAGAGATTCATTACCTGAATTTATATTTGGCAACACTTAATGGCCATCCATGAAGCTACGAGGATACAGTGACAGACATTTCTGGCAGAGCAAGTTATCCCGAATGTGCACTAAATAACATTACTGCTCTAAATATAAATCCAGCATGAAGTGATGTAAAAATCCAAATGCTGGGCAGAGCAGCAGATTGGATATGGTAATACTTTGTTTTGGGAAGATTTGTTTTTCATAACAAAAGCCTGGCATTTTTGTGAAGACAGCTACAACTATTATAACTATTTTATTATCTCCACTGCAGCTGATATCGTTAGTCTATGCTTCATTACAGCTGCACTGCAGAAATATACAAGTCTTCTCCGAAGTGATGGTGAGATGAATCAGGCTGGTTTTAAAGAACATTCAATGAAAACATGTTCAAATTGTTTGATAAGCACCTGAGTGTTTAAAATCATTACTAGACATTATAGAAATTGCTACTATACTCTATTGTAGTTCAGAATAAGAAAATAAATGATGCATGTGACAAAAACACATCTCAGAACAAACACTGCATCTAGTTTGTGTTGCCCAGATTAACTCAAATCCAAAGCTGAAAGCACCAACAATGGACACATGAGCATCAGAGGTGAACCACTAAGAAATAATGCTGGTCCATTAAATTACAATGACTGGGTCCAAATATGTAGTTTGTCTAAGAAAGACTTGATCCTTAGCAGGGTCAGTGTTCTGCTGGGAAATCTAAAGTTCTGTCATTTAGATAAATGCATCTTCATTAGTTACCACCTACGTAAAGTATGCACCTACATGCTGACCAATCACAGTCAGGGGAGATTCAGTACAGTATCACCATTATCACGTTGTATCACAAAACCTTTTCCATTTTGGCCATTTTAAAATAATGAATATCAATATGTTAAGTTCACAATAAGTTCAACTATAGAATTGAAAGAGAGTGCACTTTCGTTTTCCCATGACTGTACCTCCTTTAAATAAACAAGTATTTACTGATGACGGTGCTGCTTTATGCCGATCCACAAATTATGGGACTGACGGATGACAGTCATTTTGTTGGCTAAAGAAGAACCCTATTTAAGAAGGGTACAACCAGCAGCTGCTTTTATTTTAATCACAATTGTATAAATTTTGTCATTTCTTGCTGAATTTAGGAATAAAGTCACCCTCTATATCAGTGTGTACCACAGAGACTAGTGCATTCTTTTATTCTTGTTAAATACCTTGACAGGTTTCTTGCGTGCCGACTCGGCCTCATTGTTCTCAGCCTCCTCGTGTTCCTTGCTACCTTGAGGCAGGTTGGAGTAGTTGGCCAGGCTGCTAAGAAGAGAGGACACCATGGGCCTGGTGTCCATTTCCTCCTGCAGAGACACACACAGACAAAAAGGTGAGCATTCAGCATCAATAGTATCCCTCTCATCTCTCCAAACTGAACTTACTATTGCAGCAAAGGGGTCCATAAATCACCTGGGATTAGTGACCTCCCAAGATCTAGTCCTGTTTTTGATTACCAAGGTACAAATAAAAAAGGCTCACACAACAAGTTGTTATTCTTTTGCAATCTGAAAATTCCACCAGGAGCATTATGTAAATACATTTGTACAGAGCAGAGGTAAATTGTTTTGCTGAAGTTCGTTCTTGAAGTAGTGTGATTTTTGCCTGCAATAACCTGAGGTTCCAATATGCCCTTCACACAATAATTACCCCCATTAATCGATGTCAGAGTCTTTATTCAATCACCAACCTGAGAATGAGTTCATCCCGTTTCCCACTTGCGTTCCTAACGTGTGTGTTAACAAATCTTAGTGAGTGTGGATGTGAGTGTGTGCCTATGCGAAGCATTAAACTGTACCTCAAACAAGGCCATGTTCTTCCCATCGTACTGCTGGCTCTTTTCTGCGGCAGCATCACTGCTGTTAATGAAGGGGCTGCTCTCCTTGGGGTTACTGTCACCTGGAAGAAAAGGGACAACGACTGGTTTTAGACCCAACGGATACATAGTCAACCAAATAAACAAAGAAACCAGCACTAAGCATGAAGGAACATAACATTTTTGCTGGAAAACTTCAATTTTAAACAGGTTGAGTTTTAACCATGCTTTTATGTGATTAAGTAAACAGCCACACTCAGAAGACTTAGGATGCCAGCCAAGAGATAAGGGATTGTGTGATACTGTATGTATGTATGTAAAGTTCTCTCTGTCAGAAATGCAAACAAATTGATTCAGACCGAGTGGATTGTGCATCCAAAATGTGTGCAGTACTAGATTCATTCATTCATTCATTCATTCAATCTTTACTTATACAAGTTAGTTTCATTGAGCCTCAAGGACTCATTTACAAGAGAGACCTGTGGATATATAT